CAAAAAAATAAAAATTTGTAATATCCACCACATCTAATTTATCAGCAGATTGTTCAATAAACTGTAGTTGCCCCAAATAGACCCTTAGTTTGCTTAAAACACAAAAATCAACAAAAATTTATGAGCCACTCTTGAATATAAGTAATATGCATTTCATACCCCCACATAATTATTCTATCTTTTCTTTTGTGAAAGTTATAAATTTCATTTTTTTCTTAAATAACATTTTATAAACCCAACACACTACATTGAAAGTATAATGATAAGGTTTAAGAGGGGTAATGGCATTTACATTATTCTAAAAGCCCGAAATTAAGGCCAATACCGATAATGGTCATCTCCTTGAAACATTGGTGCATGCCACTCATTATTCTAACACTCATTATTCTAATAAATAGAATAATGGAGCACAAAGTCAAAGAGAATCATTTGAGCCTCATCTAGAGGAAAGCAATATTACGTTTCATTTGGATTTTTCTTCCATGATTTCCGGTTACATCCCCCTTTGCCTCTCTCTCTCTCTCTTTCTCTCTCTCTCTCTCTCTCTCTCTCTCTCTATATATATATATAAATATATATTCTTTCTTTTTAACGAGCCCCAGTCATTTTCAGACGAGATCTAACCCGTGACCACATGAGACTTACACAAGACTGTACTACTAAAAAGTCGTGAAGCGACACACACACTCTCTCTATGTATATTAAATCCTTATTTCTACATTTCTATCTCCCAAATCTTTCATATCACATAAAAAATACCTCTATTTTAACTTTTTAAAAATGAGACACATAGATAGATTTGTAAATACTTAGAATTAAGTGGAGCTTATGAAAATCTTTTTAAAATAAAATGTCTCTTGTATGTTTGGAATCTTGAGAGATGTTTTTGTATTTAGACCCTTGCTTGCACAAATCTCAAAGCTTAATTAATTATGGAGATTATGTTTACAATTGGTCAATTTTACTATAAATATTTTATGACATGATAATTATTTTCTAAATAATTTTTGACAAATTTCCTTAGTCTAATTTTGTCTATTTATGTTTTATATCTTTCTATGTAAGCAATTGTAGCCAATCACAGTTGTAATTAACTTATTTTTCATTAAAAATATTAGAATTTTATCTTAAAATCTTTGCCTAATTGCATGCACCTGAATGAAGCTCATTTTCAAGTAGGATTTATTGCTATCATTTTAATTTCTTTTATTCATTAGAAGATGGATTAAACTAAGCTACTTATTTTAACCTTTTAAGGTTAAAACTTTAGGCATTATGAATTTGTTAGATTTGAGTGATTTTCAAATATATTATGAATTGCAACCTGAGTCGCCAACCGCTGTTGTTGCCCATCACGGGCCACCGACCACAACCACTACGACCCATCTTTTGTTTCCTTTCGCTAGCTGTCGTCAACATCACTGTCGTATTTTACATTAATTTCATTTTTCTTATAAAAAAAACATATAAACTCTTGCGTATATTATGCACCAAAGCAAAAAACCCTAAATTATTTCAAATACAATGCATTTCAATTACGCTGCTTTCATTTTACATTGCATTCCCGTGTCAGCAAACCAAACGACCTACAAATAGATTGGAAGGTAGAGCATTCTATTCTTGTAGAAAGAAAGCTTTGCAAGAGGTATTTTACTTGTCTTTTCGATTTGTTTCATGCAATTATTCTTGTAATTTCTTTGCCTTGTCCTAAGGATTAGGAGTTGATGATGATTGAAAGTCTTTTTTAGGTCATAAGTTTGATGTTTTCTTAATATACATAAAATGTGATTGCAAATCTCAGGGTATTAAGTAAAATAAGAAGCAATTTATAGTTCTTACATGCTTACTATCAAAATAAACAACAAGTCTAAGATGTCTCAATTTTGAGGTCTTTAAGATACTTAAATGATGAATTGATGTTTATGATCAAACAAATTAGCACGAGCATACATATTTAAAATCTTAATATTTTTTCTATAATTATAAAATCATACTCTAAAAAGGTTCGAGTCAAACATCAATTTTCACATGCTCACCTCGTATTTAAAATCTTAATATTTTTTCTATAATTATAAAGCCATACTCTAAAAAGCTTAGAGTCAAACATTAATTTTCACATGTTGACCACAATTTGAACCAAGAGATAAACTTCAATTTTCAATATGTCGTCTTACCAATACTTTAAAATGGGAATTTCACTTTTATATGTTTAAATAGGGGTGTTGTTAAATAGGGGGGTTGTTTATGTGATATGAAAGATTTGATTGGTATAAATGTAAAAATTAAAATTTTGATGTTAGGTTTGTAAATACATTGGAATTGGGTGTTGGGTATGTAAATGCCCCATGAAAAACAAGATTGCATCCCATTGGAATTGGGTGTTGGGTATGTAAATGCCCCATAAAAAAAAAAAAATGCATCTAATTAAATGATTAGGTATTTCTAAAGTAAATGAATTTTCATTATTTTAGATATTTAAAATACATATATTTTAAAATCATCCATTAAAATGAGCAATGACTATTAATGATTTCTCTTGTCACCCTATGTATAGAGACTGTAAAGCTCCCACCATCGAATGAGCCAAGCCATGCATAATCCAAACAGGATCGATTGACCGAACCATACAAACTAAACTGAGTCAACCGAGCTTTCCCCATCGATCCAAAATCAACTAAACATAACTGACCGAGCACAAGACAACCAAACGTCAAACCAATACTTACAAAATAGCATAAATACCTTAATATGAAACCTTTCATCTAGAAGCAAAAATGCAAAATAATATTTGTACTGCCTACCTTTTAAATAAGAGAAATATTTTATGAAAGTAATGTTAGTCACGCTATTTATTATTATATATTTTCTCCTCTTTCTCTTCTTACTTTATATTCTTATAAATAAAGCAGGATCAAGCTATCATTATTTAAAAGTTTATTATCCCTCTCTTTCACGTGCGTCCTCATCGGACCGTTGGTTGATATCAATCATATTCATCTCGTTCGTCGCTCGCTCGGCTTTCCCTAAGCTTCCGTGTCTTCGTAGCCCTCTCCCTTCTCCCCATACTTTCTCTGCCAGAGCTCTAGCAGCCATAAATGGAGCCTTTTCACCGTCCCCTGCGCCGTTGAGACCTTCTTGTGGTCCAAAGATCACACCTTGGCGTAGTTCTTTATTAACCTCAAGCTTTTAGGGTTCGGAAAGGAGCACAGGAGGAGATATAGGGTGAATGACGAGATGGGAAGGAGTAGACGAAAATCTGGAGAAGATGGTAATCACGGCGAATCTGGATCATGCGGCCGACCGTCGCCTGATTCGTGAAGCTTTCAAGGACTTTCAGCTCGGAATAGATCACTGCCTCTTCAAGGTCTCTCTTGTTCTCTCTGTTTTTGCAAGTTTTTTGATGGGGTTTATGACAACTTTTCTCCTCTGTGTATTGCTGCATTTCTGTGCTTGTTTCTGTAATTATGGTGATAGTCGATGATATTTTTTAGCTCTGGAATAAGTATCCTAAACGGCATTGTAAAAGATTTCTTCTTTTGTCTTGTTATCTTCGTCTGTCTTTTGTTAGCTTCTGCAGCATATTGATCTTAGAGCTCAACAATGGCGGACGATGAATTGGATGTCACTAAAGTATGAGTTTAAGCAATTCACTACTTATATTTGGCATAAATTTCCAAATTTTAGAAGTGGGGGCGGCCTCCGTCTAGCAACCACAGAAATGAACTTGGCTACTAGACTAGTGAAAGGAGGAGTTGCGGGGATGAATCAAAATTTTTTGTGCTCCTAAGGAACCAATCCCCCAATAAAAATTGAGTTTTTTTAAGTTCTGATGAGGATCACTAAGCAACTTGCCGCACTACAAAATGAGTCAAGAGAACATCAAATCCTTTAGGATATCATAGATGATCTCATTAAAAAGTGCCTCGTTCGCTATAGTTTGATTCCATACGCTGCACCGCACTTTCTGTTTCTAAAAAAAAAACATCACTTGGCAGCGTATCTATAGCATAGCAATTAACTAAACCACAAAAAATATTGGTTTTTGATGCCGCAGTTCAATAAAATGTTAGACAAACTAGTTGACATTATTATCCAAGTTGGTCCTCCGGAATTGGCACGATCAATTTTATATTTATGTTGATGATGAATCGAAGACAATAAGACATCATTTAAGATTCATGATGGACTTCATGAATGGAGGATGATCTGGTATCTTAAAGCGCTCAATGAACGAGTTTCTAAAACTATTTCTTGGATAAATTTGCATGATTTATTTTGAAGATATCTTAGTTTTTCAGTTGCCCGTTGACGATGCATGTGCATAAACTCAAATTAATCCTTATGGTCTGGAAGATAATAAATTGTATCTTAACCTGCCAAAACATTAGTCTATTATTGTTCAAAAATCTTGAAAATACTAATTATTATATTTCATATTTGTTATAACTATATTAAATACTAATTATTATATTTTATATTTGTTATAACTATATTTTCAGAGGGTTATAAATTATATGAGGGATCTTGGGAATTTTATTTATTTTTCTCCTTAAATTAAAGAGATTAGCTGTCTCTTATATTTTTTTATTATTTCTTTCATTTTCTAATGTATTCTGTTTTTATTGTTTTTCTTATCAGTAAGTCTTGTAATGAGTATTTATACCTCTCCTTTCATCAATAAGATTAAGTCCTCTCATATCTTTTCATGATATCAGAGACATACCAATCTTTTCGGTATGACGACTTCTTCTTCCTCCTCCTAAGAAATATTCTCCGCCTCATCTATCCCAGTTCCAACCGGAATCAATGACACTTACTCCCTCATCACTGACCACAAACTCAACGGCCAAAACTACTTTCAGTGGTCTCAATTCGTCATGATGTTCATCTGCGGCAGAGACAATAACGATTATATCACCGGTGATGTCGTCGTTCCGACCAAGGATGACCCAAAATTCCGGACATGGAATGCAGAAAACCACATGGTCATGTCGTGGTTAATCAATTTCATGACCAATGACATCGACAAAAATTTTCTTCTCTACGACACGTCTCTACGACACGGTCAGGAGTATTTGGATGCTGTTCGAGAGACATATTCTCACTCAGATAAAACATCCAAGTTCTTAGAGATCGGGTCAATCCTCCACGGTCTTCGCCAATGTGATCAATCTGTGACTCAGTATTTTAATGTTCTCTCATGTTATTGGCAGTAGGTTGACATGTATGAGGTTTAATGTCTGGTCATGCATTACGGACTCCAACTTATACCGTCAGATCAATGAGCAAAAAAGAACATTCAAATTTCTTCTCGGCCTCAACAACTCTCTCGATCATGTCTGCTCTCGTGTATTAAGCTTCAAACCACTACCGAGCATTCGCGAGGTCTTCTCCGAGGTTCGCCTCGAAGAAAGTCGCCAGAAAGTCATGCTTGGGCCTATCTCCATCTTGCCCAATCTCTCCGTTGACGTCTTCGCCTTTGCAACTCGAGTTCCTTCGTCTTGACACAACGATAACCCATCACGCAAAGGCCGCCCCTGGTGCGACCATTGCCGCAAACCAGACCATAATAAAGACACGTGTTGGGTGCTTCATGAAAAGCCAGTCGATTAAAAGCCTCGGTCTGAACGCGCTCTCAGTGCCAACAACGCCGTCGCTGTTGATGACCTTCATGCACCAGCGCCAAGTCCATTCAACAAAGAACAACTAGATTTGTTGTACAAATTGATTGGCAAACCACCTAATCTGGCTGTTCCCGACCCCATCACCGGCCTGCTCGCGCATCAGGGTACATTCTACCATGCCTTCACAGTCAATCAAGGATCCCTCGGTCAGTGGATCATCGATTCCGGCGCTTCTCATCACATGACTGGCGATGCCTCCCTTTTCAATAACTATATGTCGTGCGGAGACAACTCCATCCGCGTTGCCAATAGCTCTGTCTCCAAAGTCACCGGCTTTGGTTCCGTGCGCATCACCCAAAACATTCTACTCAGGTCTGTGCTTTATGTTCCTATTTTAAATTGTAATTTAATATCCATCAGAAAGTTGACTAGTGATGTGAGGTGTATTGTTAAATTTTTTCCTACCATGTGTGAATTTCAGGATGCGAACTCGGGGACGACGATTGTCTGCTGAGATGTGATCAGGTCTCTACGTCATCAACAGTACTTCACCACCACGACCTCGCTACAGACATTTGTCTACTCATCATCCTGTCTTCAATTCTAGTGTCAATAAATATTCTGAGATCATGTTATGGTATTTTTGTCTCGGCCATCCAAATTTTATGTATCTTGCAAAAATATTTTCAAATTTATTTATCAATAAAGATGTTCGTTCTTTTCGATATGAATTTTGTCAACTTGTCAAACACACTCGCATGTCATTTCCACGTATTAGTTACATTTCTTCTCGGCCCTTTGCATTCATTCACAGCGATATCTGAGGCCCATCCCGTGTTACAACCCTTACCGAGACTCGGTAGTTTGTCTCATTTATTGATGATCACACTCGACTAACGTAGTTAATCGCCAACCAAAAAACCTGCCACTTTCTCGAGGTGACCCGCTGCCTCATGTTTTCCTCTAATGTGCCTAAGGTTTTTTGGGGCGACGTTGTATCCACTGCAGCCTACCTCATCAATAGGATGCCTTCTCGGGTCCTCAAATTTTAAAGTCCAGTCAAACTTCTTCTTAAATCATTTCCCCTCAAACACACTCGCATGTCATTTCCACGTGTTAGTTACATTTCTTCTCGGCCCTTTGCATTCATTCACAGCGATATCTGAGGCCCATCCCGTGTTACAACCCTTACCGAGACTCGGTAGTTTGTCTCATTTATTGATGATCACACTCGACTAACGTAGTTATTTCTTATGAAAAATACATCTGTAGTCGGTCACATATTTGAACAATTTTACTCAATGATCTAAACACAATTCCAAACCTCCATCCAGGCACTCAAGACTGATAATGCAAAAGAGTGCTTCGCTTCCGCCCTCGACTCTTATCTCTCCTCTAAAGGTCCCCTCCATCTCAGTTCTTGCGTCGACACTCCTAAAAAAATGGGATCGTCAAACACAAGAACTACCACCTTCTCGAGGTGACCCGCTGCCTTATGTTTTCCTCTAATGTGCCTAAGGTTTTTTGGGGCGACGTTGTATCCACTACAGCCTACCTCATCAATAGGATGCCTTCTCGGGTCCTCAAATTTTAAAGTCCAGTCAAACTTCTTCTTAAATCATTTCCCCTCACCAAGGCAATTACTCAAAATCTAGCTACCAAAGTATTTGGTTGCTTCTCCTTTGTTCACATTCATTCACACAATCACAGCAAACTTGACCCCAAATCTACTAAATGTATTTTTCCTCGGCTCCTCGCCTCTTCAAAAAATGTATAAGTGCTACTCTCCTCTCACAAGAAAAACCTACAACATTATGGATGTCACCTTCTTTGAAAATCAACCTTACTACCCCAATTCTAATATTCAGGCAGAGACTTTAAGGGAATATCAGTCTTGGGAGGACAACAAGTTCATACCACCACACATCAAATTCTTGTCCCTTGAACCGAACTCATTATCTCACGACTCGGATTCAGTAAGTTCATCCAACTCACGTGAAAATGTCCCAACAATCAGTCTCTGTCTAGTCCTCAAGTGTCCAACTCGCACATAGATCACCCAACACAACCCCACTCCAAGCGTCAGAGCCTAATCCAACCCCTATAGAAATCCACTCAAGTACGAACACACTTGAGCAAGAATCTACTATACCTATGATTAATGACTCCGACATTCCAATTGCTTCAAGGAAATGTGTTAGGTCCATCCGTCCTCAACTCAGGTTCGAACACACGATGCATCCGATCTCCAACTTTGTGTCATATAAAAGACTATCTTCAGTTTATTGAGTCTATGTCACTGCATTCGACAATACACAAGTCCCAAACACGATTGATGAAACTCTCAAACAACCGGGGTAGAAAGCTGTCATTAATGAGGAGGTAAGAGCCTTACAAAAGAATGATACATATACTGTTTCAGACTTGCCAAAGGGAAAGAAAAGGATCGACTGCAAATGGATCTTCAAAGTCAAATACAAGACAAATGGTATAATTGAGAGATTCAAAGCACGTCTCGTAGCAAAATATTTTTCCCAATCCTACGGTATTGATTGCCAAGAAACCTTTGCCCCCTGTGACCAAACTTAACACCATCAGAATCCTTCTCTCACTTGCGGCAAATAGAAACTGGCGGCTACATCAACTCGACGTGAAAAATGCTTTCCTAAATGACGATTTGGAAGAAAAAGTTTACATGGAAGCACTTCCCGGACTAGAAACATCATTTCCAAGCAACAAAGTCTGCAAACTCCAAAAATCATTGTATGACCTCAAACAATCTAAACAATCAAACAATCTCCCTGAGCATGGTTCGATAGATTTGCAAAATCAGTGACAAAACACGGGTATACTCAGTGTCCAGCAGATCACACTTTCTTCGTGAAAACCTCTCCTGAAAAGAAAATTGCAATTCTAATCGTATACGTCTACGATATCATCCTCACTGGAAATCACGAAGAAGAACTCACAAATCTGAAGCTTTTCTCACTCGGGAATTCAAAAAACTCACAAATCTGACAAAGCTTCTCACTCGAGAATTCGAAATCAAAGACCTCGGAAACCCAAAGTTCTTTTTCGGCATGGAACTAGCTCGATCAAAATGTGGAATATTTGCTTGACAACGAAAATATACATTGGACATGTTGAAGGAAACAAGTATGCTCTGTTGCAAATCCGTCGATACTCCAATGGATCCGTACAAGAAGACCGACACTGAGAAAAATAACGCACATGTGGATAGGGGGAGATATCAGCGACTCGTGGGACCACTCATCTATCTTTCACACACACGACCCGATATTGATTTTTCTGTTAATGTTGTTAGCCAATTCATGAATAACCCTACGGAAGAACACATGAATGCAGTCTACAGAATCTTGAGATACCTCAAGATGACTCCAGACAAAGGGCTGCTATTTCAAAGGAATAAGGATCGGGGTATATAAGTGTATTCAGACGCAGACTGGGCAGGGGATGTCTCAGACCGACGATCAACTTCCTGGCTATTGCACTTATGTTTGGGGAAATCTAGTTACTTCGAGAAGCAAAAAGTAATCTGTGGTATCAAGAAGCAGCGTTGAAGTTGAATTCAGAGCTCTTGCACTCAGGATCTGCGAAGGAATGTGGATTCAAAGAATAATCAGCGAACTCGGAATGCTAACTGAAAAAACTGTCAAATTATAATGCAACAACCAGACAGCCATCAGCATTGCAAAGAATCCAGTAAACCATGACAGAACGAAACACATCGAGATCGATCGACACTTCATCTCAGAAAGCATTGAGAGAGAGGAGTCGTCGAACTTGCATACATTCCTTCCCGACATCAAACAGCAGATATCCTCACTAAGTCTATCCCAAAACTCAACTTTGAAGAATTATGTAACAAGTTAGGCATATACAATCTGTACAACCCAACTTGAGGGGGATTGTTGAAAGATCTTGAAAATACTAATTATTATATTCCATATTTGTTATAACTCTATATTTAGAGGGTTATAAATTATATGAGGAATTTTGGGAATCTCTATTTATTTCTCCTTAAATTAGAGAGATTAGTTGTCTCTTATATTTTGTTATTATTCTTTTCCTTTTCTATTGTATTCTGTTTTTATTGTTTTCCTTACCAGTAAGTCTTGTAATTAGTATTTATATCCCTCATTTCATCAATAAAATTAAGTTCTCTCATATCTTTTCAATTATCCTACATTTGCACTTTCTGGGCTTTATTGTTCGCTATGAAGGTATCAAGGTGGACCCTCAGAGATTCTAGGCTATTTAGTCCTAGCCCATTTTTGCTCCATTCACGGACATCTGGAGCTTCCATGGCCTTGCCAATTTCTATCAACTACTCATTCACGATAGGAACATCTCCAATTATTAATTGTCTGAACTAGAAATCCTTCTTGTGGAATGATGGACAACAAGTAAGATTCAATGCAATTAAGGAGAAACTCTACTCTGTGCCTGTTCGGGCATTCGTAATTGATAACCCGTTTTAAGTTGAGATAGTTGTTTCAGCTATTGGGATTGGCGCTGCCTTGTCTCAAAAATGGTACGCTAATAGAATTCTTCAGTTAGAAGTTGAGTCCAACAAGACAAAGATGGTTGATTTACTAGCAAGAACTTTATACCATCGTTTGAGCACTAAAACAATGGTGCCATTATTCATTCCAAGAATCCGCCTTAGTCATCGATCACCAATTTCCTGAAAGAATTTGAACCATAAGCATGCATGCTGAGTTGTGTACCTTCAGAAGTTTTCATTTGATTTTAAGCATAAACCAGTAGTTATAATTAGGGATGTGCATTGTTGATTTGGGTGTTTTGGGTTATGAATTAGCTAATCCAATTAGATTTAGTTGTAAAATTCAGAACATCATGCCGATGAAGCTATTTTTCAAACCAGATTAAATTGAATTGAACTTTAATTTGGTCAATTTGATTTGGATTTAGATGAACCAAAATATAGTTAGTTATAATTTAGACATGTGGAATAAATAATGTGAATGTTGATCTTTATGTGTTCTTCTTAGTGATGATTTATGAGCCTTATTGATTTAATATTTACCTAAATTATTAGTTAGTTATAATTTAGACATTAACCAGTAGTTAATTATAATTTAGACATTTCGACTAATTGTTGGGACAATCTGAGTTCACCTACAACTCTATTGCCATCCAATTTATTGGAAGGAACTCCCTTTCAACTTTGCTCCCACCTTTAACAACAAGACCTTTACACATCACCCTCCAAATGGTAGTGTTATGCAACTCATTAAACTCGGTCCAAGTTCTCGAAAAATGAGCCAACTAATGCAACTCATTATAACTCATCAAAAATCTATTTCACAACCTTTTCCGTTTCCGCTTGTTGCTGCATTACTTTTACTTATTTATGCAAATATAATGATATTAGTTAGTACTCAATATTGTTTAGCTCGTGGCTAATGTTCTTTCTCTGATTTTCTTGCAGGCAGAATATGAAGGGATAAAAATGAAGGAGGTAATGAATTCACTTAATCCATCACTTGTTATTATAGTCTTTTGTCTTGTCTTCTAACTCCATTGTGGCTATGGCTCCTGGCCTTCTTACTCTATATTAATTCTGAATAAAGCTGATCAACCCAACTTAGTATTTTTGTCTTTTAGTCTCTGTTTTTGCTGAAACACATTTTTTTTTTTGCTAAGATATGAAAAGTGTAAGAGTTATCTGGTGAACACTTGAAGTTCATTTCTGAATCATATACTCATTGCTGTTCCGGAACTTGATTCATCCAACGGTTTCTTGACCGTTCATTCCATAATTTTGTAGGGGGATTTACATACATGCCACCCAATTCCAATGTATTTACATATCTAGTTCCTAAACTTTGCTTTTTTTTATAATATATCGCCCAAATCTTTCATATTACAAAAAAATTACCACCATTTTTAAATTTTTAAAAAGTGAAGTACTCCTTTTCAAGCATATGCAAGGTGGGGTTTAGGTGTTAGATAGGCAAATACATAATAATTGAGCGGTATGCATGTAAATTTTTCAATTTTGTATCTTTCCGATTGTGGCGACCCTGTTTTCGAATCATTGTGACAGTCCTATGAGGTGAATTCAAGAGGTTTGGAAATATTCACCAAACGCTGGCTTCCGGGGAATCATCGAGTGAAGGCACTCGTGTTTTTCTGCCATGGTTATGGAGACACATGCACATTTTTCGTTGAAGGTATTCGTGTTCTTGAACTCCTCCCATCGTTCTGGTATATGTGGAATGTTCCTGGGCTTGGCTTAATGAGCATGTTCGCCTTTATGTAGGTATAGCCAAAAAGATAGCCTCAGCTGGCTATGGATTTTTTGCTATGGATTATCCGGGCTTCGGTCTTTCGGAAGGATTACATGGCTATATCCCAAGCTTTGATGATCTTGTTCATGATGTGGTTGAGCATTTCTCCAAAATTAAAGGTATTTGTTTTTTTTTTTTATGAAGATTTACATGCACACCCTACTCAATTCTCATCTATTTACATATCTAACTGCTAAACTTCAATTTTTACATAAATGCCGCATCACGCATGTAAGAAAAGGTGTATTTCACTTTTTAAAAGTTAAAATAGTAATGTTTTTTATGAGATATGATAGATTTGGATAGTATGAATGGGAAAGGCAAAATTTAGTTGTTAGATATGTAAATACATAAGAATTGGTTGGTATATGTGTCAATGCTTGCTAGCAGCAGCAGTTTTACTTGGTGTTTTTTGTTTTTTACACTTGTTGAAAGAAACCTGTGTTCTGAACCAAATAAAAATGAATCAAACTCCATCGTGAAAACACTTGCTAAGTTCGTGAAAACACTTGCTAAGTTTGGTTTGGTTTTTTGTCTCATTAGTGTGATTAAACCATACATATCATTAGTTAAACTTGTGGGGCATTTACATTCATACCATCCGGTGCTTATGTTTTTACATATTTAACACCTTAACATTTGCTTTTTAGATTTATGCCACCCAAAATTTTCATATCACATGAAAAAGACAACTTTTTTAAGTTTAAAAAAGTGAAATACACATTATCATGCACAGGAAAGGTGGTATGTGAGTGTCTGTGTGTCTGTGTCTATATATATTCTAAATTCTATATCCTTGAACATCTTATAAGATAGATTCATCAATTAGTGAGATTTCTTGATGATTATGTTTATCATTGTTTGATTTTTCTAATATTTAGCCACATAAAATTTAAATTAAGAGGAGTAACTTTTCCTTTCAGTGAATATGAATTCAACTTTACTGAAAATCACTGCAAAAGATGTTTAATTACTATATTATCAATATGGGTAATCACTTTCTTGTTATGTTGTTCATGTGGATCAGAGAACCCTGAATTTAAAGGTATTCCGAGCTTCTTATTCGGCCAATCGATGGGTGGAGCGGTCGCCTTGAAGGTTCATCTTAAACAACCTCAGTCGTGGGATGGCGCAATTCTACTCGCTCCAATGTGTAAGGTAGTCGGATTTGTTTGAGCAATAATGGTATTATTACTTTGTTCCATATGCCTTTGTTTTTCGATCGGTAAACTTCGTGGCAATTGTTTTCGTTAGATATCGGATGATGTGCTTCCTCCTTGGCCAATGGTGCATCTTCTAATCATTTTGGCAAAAGTATTTCCCAAAGAGAAGTTAGTGCCTCAGAAGGATTTAGCAGAGATGGCATTCAAGGATTTGAAAAAGAGGGAACAGGTTTTTTTTTTTATTAAGAGATCTTTGGCAATACTTATATATTAGAAAATACCATCCAATTCTTATATTTCTACATGTCTATGGCTCAAATTTTGTCTTTTTTTGCACTTATACCAACCAAATCTTTCATACCACATAATAAATATCACTATTTTAACTTTTAGAAAGCGAAATACACCTTTTTCATGCATAAGAAAGGTGGCATGCATGAATTGAAATTAGGTGCTATATGGAAATACATATGAATTGCGTGTTATGTATGCAATTCTTCCTTTTTTTGGGACCTTTTCATGCATGGGTAAGGTGGCATGTATGTAAAAATTGATGGTTGGGTGTTAGATGACTAAATATATGAGAATTGGTGGTATGCATGTAAATCTTCTTTTTTTACAATACTACCACCCAATTCTTATTTTTTTAGATTTATAGCATCTAAATGTTATTTTTTACATTTATACCACCCAAATCTATCATATCACGTAAAAAATAACACTATTTTTAACTTTTAAAAAGTGAAATACGTCTTTCCATGCATAGTTAAGATGACATGTATATAAAAATTGAAGTTTAGATAGTAGATATGTAAATACATAAGAATTGAGTGATACCTAGTTCTTATGTTTTTTACACGTCACCTAAATTTTGCTTCTTACATTTATACCATCCAAATCTTTCATGTAACATAAAAAGAAACACAATTTTAACTTTTGAAAAGTGAAATACAGCCGTCTGTCATTCATAGGTAAGGTGGCATAAAAGTGAAATACAGCCGTCTGTCATTCATAGGTAACGTGGCATGTATGTAAAAATTGAAGTGTATGTGTTAGATCTGTAAATGTATAAGAATCGAGTGGTATGCATGTAAACTTCCCTTTTTTTGTGATGTTGCTGTGCCTGACATTGAAAGTTCCATCATGCTTATTAAAACATTGCTACTTGTTATGCAGACTTCCTATAATGTCATTGCTTACAAAGGCAAACCTCGCTTGAGGACGGCTGTCGAGATGCTCCAGACGACAGAGGAAATAGAACGTCGGCTTGAAGAAGTACGTGATTTACTTTCCATTAAAGTTCTGTTTTTCATTAAAGAATTTTTTGTCGAAATGAATTCTAGAATGGAGAGGAATTGATTTAAATTCATGTGGATAGTTTACTTCCAAATTTTCATAGTTGATTAGGCCAAATCTATTGGTTCTTGAGCTTATTCGTGTTGTGGAACAGAAGGGATGAATACTAGGGGTGTAAACAAGCTGAGCTTAAGCAAGCTCAGTGTTTGTTCGTGT